GCCACAACCAGTTAACATTTTAGAGGCTCCAAACTTTGTATATTATTATCTTTAGTTAGTCTGAAGGTTGAAAGCTTTCCAAATCAGAAGGGTAAAAGGTTCAAAGCCCACCTTCTTTCATTTTTTGATAATAATAATAATATTTTTCTTCTTCTATAAATAAACAACTAAAGATTTATTCTTTCTTTGGTCAAAAAAAAAAAAGATTTGTTCCTTAAAAAATAAGGATGATTTGGGTTCATGTTCCAATAGCCTTACTACCTTAATTTCTTTTATTACTAGTGGTGTGTCCGCGCTACGCGCGGATTGTTTTATATTTGTGCTAAGTACATTTGAATTTTGATGTGCTTATATTTTTTTTCAGAAAGATGATATTTTATTTTCATAGGGTTGTTAATGTTTAGTTGCATTAGTAATTATTCTGTGTTGGTTTTGTTATGCTAGTTGTTTGATATTTCTTTTAGATAAGAGTACTTGGCTGTGTTTCATTCTAGCGCATAGTCGGATTAGTATATTTTATTATTTATTTATCCATTTGGTAGTGGTTAATGACAGTAGTGTACTACTTTGTTCGAAGTTGGTAAGGTTAAAGAGAAATAGTATAAGTAATTTCTCTGATTCATTCAATAAAAATAGAATAAATCGCTGATAGTTGCATCAAAGTAGATATATAGTTAAACTTAAAAAAAAAAATTAAGTCGATGTTCCAAAAAGAAAACATATAAATTCAAGTGTTTGTTTTTCTTGAAAATAGAATTCATGTGTTTGTTATGTGATTATCGTGTGTATTTTTTAAAATTAATGTTATTCAACGTTGTATTTTCTTTTGTTGGATTGTTGTATACGTTGTAATTCAAATCTTGGATTTGCTATCAGTCTTAATGTGGCCATATTTCAATAATATGATAGGTTTTTTATTGAAGTTAACTTTCTTGTGTTTTAATAGGGGTAAACGCTATATTTCCCCCTCCCTCAAAATATCATATAGTAACACTTTCCCACAATGTTTGACTCTCATCCTAATTTTCCATCTATTGAATTTAAAAACGTATATCCCCACAATTTGAAAATTCGAAACATATTTACACATAATAATTGGTTTTAACGGTTAAGAACAAAACCGTGATTTGAAATCACTTACACCAAATATCAAACCAAATTAAAACATGACCCAGTTTTAATCTAATCTTAGATCAACAAAATTAACAATAAACCCTAAACCCAATCTGTTTCTCCTCTCTCCGTGATGGGTAAAAGAAAAACAAATCACTTTCTTGTCATCACCTCTACCCAATCTCTTTCTCTCCTCTCTTGGTGAGTAACAAACAACGTTCACTCTCTTCTCTTTCATTTCTCTCACTTTGAGCGATCAATTATTATTATTTGTTTCCACTTTTCTTGCTTCTCTGCATTTTTAATGAGTCATTTTATTTTGAAGCAAACAAAGTGGGAGAAAAAAAAAACTCTAATCTCTAGTCTTTAGAAGAACAAGATGGAAAAGCACACAAAACAAACTTAACAAGAGAGCGCCAAAACTTGTTGTTGGAACAAGATCCTGATCAAATTCAAAAGACGAAACCAAGCATCACGAAGTAAAAGTCG